TCCTTTTAAACAAGATTCTCTCTTATAGGATGAAATAAATAAGCCAGAGAGGTGAGCTGCAACATGAAGCAGCCAACAATCACAGAAGTCCCTTGCTTTAATATCACGAAATTTGAGAGAGAAACCATTCAGATTACTACAAAAAAGCATTTAAAATGAGCTCATTAAATGTAAATTAAAACAGAAACATTGAATAAGCACTGGACTACAATTAAAGGCTGAAGAAACAGCAGGTAAGAAACAATTTTCATTGATCAAAAAACTAAAAGCTAACAGAATAAAATGTTTTGCATTGAAACTGCTTTCATGAGTATGAAGCATTCTGGAATAAGGAGAAAATTTCCCCCCCGCTTTTTTTTTGCATTTTTCAAAGAGGCTTTGGAGGTAGGAATGGATTTGCATATCTTAAATCAAAGTACTTTCACTGTATCATTTTCAAGCAATGAAGCTGTGAGGTTTCAAAAAAATAAATACTTCAAAAAAACCCTCAGATACAGGGCCAAAATTGTAAGGGCATAAGGTCATCATTTTAGAAACTTTGGACCATATATAATTACGTAAAATCTTCTATGCAAAAGTGTAGTAGAACCTATTTTTGACGCAATTATACCTCATCATAAACAGAAGCTTTGGGATACTTAAAGTCGCTTCTCATCTAGTCATTAAAATGGCAGGGCAAGTAGCAGTACACAGCATTTTCAACTAGAAATATAAATTCTGAGACTGTAAAATTTATTGCATGACAAGCTTTAAAACAAATATGTAGATTTATGGGCAAACAGTAAAGTTAGACTGCACATTTATGATGGCAAGGCAGTTTTAACCGCTCTTGGATCCCTGGCACCTAGAGCAGTACTGAGCGCACAGTAGGCGAACTATCACTGGATCTGCTCTTGTGCAACTAAAGCATTATAGAATGAGAAGGGAGAGGCTTTTTTTCTTCATAAGCTTATTTTAAAAATTCAAATATACTGCTTTCATCTACCAAGAAGGCAGAAATAAAAATCGTTGAGGGTACACAGTGGGGAAGTAGGCACCCTTATAAACACTGTCCGGGAGGGCAAGGCCACCCAGGACAGTTGTGCAGCTTGCGCACTGAAAGGCAGTAAACCTAGGGTGAGAGAGAAGTGGGAGAGGGAGAAATCCGGTAGGTGTTTTGCTGGTGAAAGCTGAGTAAAGCCTGGGAAGGATGTCTTTTAGTAATTTTCAGTACAGAGGGGCAGGGCAGCTCTTTGCTACCATATTGTAATAGGAAAGGCTTTAGATAGGAGTATAACATAGGGCAATTTACTTTAGAACAATTTAGAATATCTAGCAAAATTCAAAATCTATGAAATTTTTTATTAGAAAATCCACGCAGAAATAGTAATAAAAATTTTGCTTTACATATATGCTTACACATGCAAGTAAAAAAATATGGACACATTCTTGATGATAGCAATTGTCTGTAAACCTACTGAATGCTCATTTATTGAGAAGTATTTGAGTAATTCGTATGTTCTATAAAAGACAAGGCAGGAATTACTGTGGGGTAGATCTGCACATACAGATATGTAAGTTCTCTAAGAGATGTTAAGGTATAGAAGAGACTATGTTCTATTAATAATTACTATTTTTTAATCAATCGAAAATCTTTTTAAAGTATAAGCCACTGAATTTGAATTTCAATACTGACAATATTGTTGTAGGTATATTCATGTACTTTAATATCTGATAATAATAAAATACCTAAATCCAGTTCTGCAGAACATTTAGAACATACCACAAATATGACCACTAAAATTCAATTTAAACACAAGGAATTGCTTATTTTTTTAAAAAGGTGAAATATGTTTTTAATAGAGGTGCCCAAAATTACATTTTTTAACTTAAATTTTCTTAAGCTTTTCCATTCTGCTTTATATTGTCTTGAAGTCCTTCTCCACATTGCTCACAAAGGCACAATTTTTCACTGACTCCAATTAAATTATGTTTCGGTAGCTGCCTGGGTCAGGGCATTCAACATATCATCATAATCTGAGTGGGAAATGTAAGTAGTTTTGAAATAGCCTCCATGCCATGAAGGGAATCCTTGGTTTTGAAAAAGTAAAAGGAAGATAATTTTATTGGTAGTAAGCTAACAGTCCCCTTTGCTCCCATTCTACCAGGAAGCCCATCTTTTCATTTCTCCTCAAAGTACACCAGGATTTAAATAAAGTGGAAGATTATCTGCATTAAGGAGGGTGTAGCAACTAGAGAGAGCATAGGCATGAAAGGAGCGAGCTCTGAGCACAGAAAAAACATTTTTTTCTATAACAGAAAAAACACATAGATAAATATACATTTATGTATATTTTGATCTCCAACTGATCACCGGGTAAACACTATACTGCCTTTTCTGGCCCTGAAGTTTAATCACAAAAACACAAAATCCAGCACTCCACGGCTTCCCTTTGGATGCTTTCACTTTCATCTACCTTTAGCACAGTCCACCCAAGTTCAAAAGTGGCCATTCAGATTTGTATTGAAATGTGTCCACCAATAGAATAAGGCAATGCAACCAGTTGAATAAAATAATTTATTGTGTATTATCCAAATGGTTTTTATATGTAAAGTACTTTTCTTGGGGATGGAGGGCATGAATTTAATCATTTATGTTGTAATGCACACTTACTTGTACTACACAAAACAAGAGCTACAGTAAGAGAGAGAATACTTTTTAAAACCGTCGTTATATTCTACATGTCATTACCAGTAACTCATAACTGTTTAATCATCGAATCCAAAGATCACACTTCTTCCTTCTTAGAAGAATCCCACAAAAAACTTAAAAGAACTGCCTAAACATATTTCATCCTAATAAAGGTATTTATGTAATCATTTACTAGATAATAATTTATAACTAAGTCATAATTTTTAGATCTTAAGTTCCTATCTTTACACAGCTTTACAATAAATTTGTTTCTCTTAAAACTATCCATGTGCTAGACTAAGTTGAATTAAAATAAAACTATCCATGCGCTAGGTTAAGTTGAATTAAAATAAGTCTTTAAATAGACTTTTTTTCTGTGAAATACTGACAGCATGGATTTTGAAAAATCTCCTCTACTTGGTTCTCTGATTCAGTTTTGTCTTTACAAGTGAATCTTATGTGACTGTCACCTAAAAAAAAGCTCAATAAGATTCATAAAAAATTACAATTTTTTCTTAATTGGGTAACTTTCAAATCATTCACAAGTCAGACCATTCTAGAAAAATAAAAAAAAAACTGGACAACATCCTTAAGTTTTACCACTGCTGCAAAGACAATGGCAGGTAACTGGCATGATTCTCCCAGTGATGGGTACAATGTTTTACATTTTAACATTAATTCATAAATAAAAACAGATTTAAGAAGTGTCTTCAGGCGGGGCGCGGTGGCTCACGCCTGTAATCCTAGCACTCTGGGAGGCCGAGACGGGCGGATTGTTTGAGCTCAGGAGTTCGAAACCAGCCTGAGCAAGAGCGAGACCCCATCTCTACTAAAAATAGAAAGAAATTAATTGGACAACTAAAA